GTGTGCCGAGAGCCGGGGGAAGGCCTGGTCCCCTGCCACAGGGCCCAGACACCCAGACAGGCTGTGCAGACTGGGCAGCCCGCCCTGGTTCCCGACCCAAACCGCAGCCCCACTAGGCAAGGAGGCCTCGGGGAACAGCCCCTGCCAAAATCGCGCTCTCTCCTCAGCTCCTTGACCCCCGGACGCTGCCCCGCTCCTGCGCCCACCGGGACCTGGGCCCCCGGCCGGACCGGCCGCACCAGCGCCTGACGCTGCAGCCAGGGCAGGGGAAGAAAGGTCCACGTGTCTGATGACAGCTGGGCCCAGGCCTGTGTGGGGTGGGACTCCCGAGCTGGCCCTGGGGGCTGGGTCCCCTTGGCGGGGGTGGAGCTCAGAGCCCCTCCCCTGAGCCCAGCCCGGCAGGGGCCCCGCCTGCTCCCTCCCCCCTTCCAAGCAACTCATTAGCTCTGCCATTCCCCCAGGCCTGGCTGGTGCCAAGGACTTACCCCCTTGGCCCAGTCCTCCCCTGCATCGCCCTCACAGCAGGGACCTGCGATCATGTCCAGCCTCCAAGTTCCAGTTGCACAAAGTCCCTCCTGAGCCAGGCCCGCTGCAGCTCTGGGGCCCTGTGCCGTGTGGGGGAGAACCAGGCCCCCGCCCCAGGGCTGCTCCTGGCTGGTGACAGCACTGTATTCAGGGGGGCAGCCCTTTCCTGGGAGTCCCCCCGTCCCCGTTCCAGGCTGCCCCATGGTGGGAGTGGAGCCATGGCCCCATGCTCCAAGGGCTCTGCCCACCCAGCTCCTGCCCCTTTGGCTGCATCCTGCCTTGACAGCAAAACCAAGCGTCCCAAGCAGCGTTCTGTGACTGCTCCCCTCCTCTCTCCTATTTAGCTTGTCCTTTATTTATTTATTTATTTATTTATTCGTCCATGTTTGGTGGTCATTTGTGCCGTGACAATAAAGGTCTTTTCTAGGGAGCAAGTGCAGCTGCCCCTGCCTGCGCTGTGTGAGCTTGAGGGCTGCCCTGCATGGTCCCCTCCTGCTGGGGCCGGGCCAGCAGGACACCCCCACCCTTCTGGGGCTGAAGCAGCTGCTTCGAAGCAGCTGCTTCACTTGTTGCCGGTGCCCTCTGAAGGGACCGGCCAGAGCACCGCGGGTGGCCGAGAGCCCGGGGAAGGCCGTGTCACCTGCCACAGGGCCCAGACACCTGTGCAGGCTCCCACGGCAGACTGGGCAGCCTGCCCTGGTTCCCAACCCAAACCGCAGCCCCACTAGGCAAGGAGGCCAGCGTGGGAGGGGGTCACAGATTGTTTATTGCTACAGTGGCTGGAGCAGCAGAGCTCCACCCAGGAAGGAGTCATGGGGGGAGCGAGGGCCCAGCCCTCAGAGCAGGGAGGGGTGGGGGAAGAGCTGTAACCTAGCTGGCAGTAGAGCCCCGTGCCCAGGGGCCTGCTCTGGGCAGGGCCCCAGCAGGGAGAGGCCTGCATGGCAGATGGCTACAGGAGCCTGGAAGGGCAGGGCCCAGCCTGCAGCCTCCTGCAGATGGGAGGGGAGGAGGTGGGCAGGGGGTGTCCACTGGGGATTGTCCTGTCTGGCCTGGCTCAGCCCCAGGCCCTCTCCCCTGCTAAGTCAGGCTTGCTGGGGCTGGGCAGAGCAGAACTCACGCCTTGGGCTCCGTCCCGCCACTGCAGGAGCGGCCTGAGCTCTTGGCTGTTGCACCAGCTCCTCCCCCCATCCTAGAGATGGGGAAACTGAGGCATGGGGGGTGGGAATGGCTTGGTCCCATGCCAGGCCAGGAATGTGTGGGAGCCAGGGCTCTGTGCGAGTTGCCCCAGCAGCTCTTGGGAGTGAGGCCGAGCGAGGACCAGGGCTGAGGCCAGGAGCTCCGTTCGATGCCTCTGCCTAGGTGAAGGGCAGAGGCCAGGGAATGCAGAGAGGGGGCTGGGGGCCTGGCCCCGCAGCCCAGCAGCAGTTTGAGAGTGAACATGCTCTGCCCCGCCCTGGGGGGCATTTCCAGCTTGCCCCTCACCTGTCACTCATCTGGACTCCAGCATTTCTGGGTGGGAGGTACCTCCGCACCCTGGCTTGAGGTGACGGGACGGGCTCTGGAGTCTGAGGAGGTAGAGACGGAGCCGCGGAGTGCCAGGCTCAGGCCGTGGGGCCGTACCCACACTGGCTCTGCGGGTGGCGCGGGGCTGTGTCAGGGCCCTGTCCCAGGGCCAGGCAGCAGTGCGACCTCCTGCAGCCACAGCCGGTCTAGTGGGGGCGTGCGCAGCTGGCGGCGGTGGATGCGGCGCAGCCGCAGCAGGTAGAGGGCGATGGCCAGCAGCACCACCAGTATGCAGGCCAGGAACAGGTAGTGGTTGTAGACGAAGGACAGGCGGGGCCAGGTGGCGTGGGGCTGTCGCCCGCTCTCCTGCCGCAGATCCCTGCAGGAGACGTGGGGGTCAGTGCAGGCAGGGACAATGCCACAAGACCCGGAACAGAGACGCCTGCACGTGGTGTCACCGTGCCGGGACCTGGGGACACCCCAGAGGGTGCAGGGGCATGGCTGTGACCCTATTCAACAGGACAGCATTGCAGGAGCCTCTGGTAAGAACCTCCCTGCTTCCCCTCAGTGCTCAGAGGCACCTCCCCTGTCCTCTTCCCCACCCCATCCAGGAGTGGGGAGCACTTGTTCTTTC